CTATCTCTCTCTCTCTCTCTCTTGCTCTCTCTCTATCTATCTCTATCTATATCTCTCTCTATCGCTCTCTCTCTCTCTATCTCTCTCTCGATCTATCTATCTATCTATCTATCTATCTATCTATCTATCTATTGCTCTCTCTCTCTCTCTATCTATCTATCTATCTATCTATCTATTGCTCTCTCTCTCTCTCTATCTATCTATCTATCTATCTATCTATTGCTCTCTCTCTCTATCTATCTATCTATCTATCTACTATGTCTCTCTCTCTATCTATCTATCGATCCATCTATCTCTCTATCTATCTATCTACTGTGTCTCTCTCTCTTGCTCTGTCTGTCTATCCATCTGTTTGTCTGTCAGATAGATTGATAGATTGATAGATTGATAGATTGACAGATTGACAGATTGATAGATTGACAGATTAACATTTCTCATAGTAAGATACCAAAATGTTTTGATTCGTCATAGATTTCTTTTATTTCAATCTATCTGTCTTGTCTGTTCGTCTGTCATTGTTTTGAAGGGAAAGAAAAGAAAAAAACAACAGTACATGTTTTTGACAGAATGCTTTAAAATTGATACGGTGACAATAATACTGTGGAGTATTTGGGATGAGAATATAAATTCTGAAGAAGGGATCAGTAGTTGTATTGATATGACGGTCATGTTAACAAAAACATATTACTTAACAGTAATCCAGCTTGAGAGACACAGAGGAGACAACATTTGAGCTCTATCACCTCATCACCAGATAAAGCTAGACAGCATGTAGCCTCATATTTTGATAAGAGGCTACATCAATGTATAACCTCTAAATGTGAGTCATGATCAAATACAAGATATTAACCCGCCTCATCACAAACAGAGAGCGATTACATGACTGTATTTGTGAAGGTGCAGCTTTATCAGTACAGAGTGTAAGCGTAGTCGAGCCCACACTTACGCCTATGAGGCTTTCAGACAAGAAGACTAATGTTGAAATCCTCAATACAAAATTAACAGTGAACATATTGAAACGAGGTTCTGCCATATAAATATGATGTCATTTATAGGTTGGCAAAGAGGGCAAAGGGCCATAAAGTAATATTCCTGAACATACTGTACTTTGGAGGTTGCAGCTCATGTTACAAAATAAAATGACTGACGTGAGCACCACGCTGCTGCCTTCAGTTTTATATTTATGTAATTACTTCATCTGTGGGGGATTGGACAAGGTGCTGTACAGTTAAGTGATATCACAACTGCAGTGCAAAGTAATGTTGCCCGTACTCGTACAGCTGCGATCAATGTTACTGTGGCCTTTGCAATACAACTGTAAATATATCTCCAGTACACTACATGCTTCTAGAACATCGCTCCTTAAATATCTACAAGTTATATAATGTGGAGGAGAAAGTCATATTTACTGTGTGAATTATGGAGATCTTGCATTGATTTTATTTTTTTGTCAGAGACTGTAATTTTCCAGTCCGGCTCGACAAATGAGACTTATTTCATGAGCCGTTTTCCTTGTTGCGAGTTGGTCCCAAAGTGTAAACATGAGACATGAGGACATGTTATTTATGGTGCTCAGATTGCTAACGCGTAGGCTTGTGTTCATAATGTTTACAGTGTTACCGTGTGATGCCCACACACAGAAATGACCACTGATCAGGATCTGACTATGGATGGCCAGCCAGCCACAGCCGTGTTTGCTGCAAAGGGCATTGATGTAACAACTAGTAAAGACCAAGGAGTTATCAAGGTATTTATTGCCATTGCTTTAGATTGTAATGTTTTGTTGCAGGTGCTCAGGCTTAAGTAGGACTCATTGTTCCATCATATGGCATGGCCATGATCTTTCATGATCTTATCTCTTCTATGTTCTCTGTTAAAAAGGTGTCTTAGTTGAACTGGAAGCTTTTCCTTCTGTCTGCAGGTTGTGAAGCGTCATGGGCTCGATGGAGAGAGACCGATGGTTGGGGACAAAGTGACCGTCCACTACACTGGGAAGCTGCTCACCGGGGAGAAGTTTGACTGCAGTCGAGATCGCAAAGAAGCTTTTTGCTTCAATGTGGGCAAAGGTAGGTGACTTTATGCATTACTGTCATACATGACGGTGCCTTAGTGTTGTATCTTACTAAAAGGAATGGTTTTATATTTTGGAAAGTGTGCTTATTTGCTGAGAGTTAGATGAGATTATTAACACCTCTATTCACTTACCAGCACCTATAAAGCTCACCAACACGTTATATCTTGTTTGTTTAATCCATACAAAACAAAGAGTAAAAACAACAAGTCGGGGTTTGACAGAGGGATTATGTGGTTATGTGTTGGACTCTTTCTTAGACTGATACAACTTAGGCAGTTGTATCAGTTCTCTAATCAAACTCTGGGCAAGAAAGTGAATAAGTCACTAAATGTCAAACTATTCCTTTGCATTCTTATCAATATAAATAAGATTATAAACCAGCAACATCGCTAATAGTTTTTATTCTTTGCCTCATCCACTCACAGGACAAGTCCTCAAGGCCTGGGATATTGGTGTGTTGTCTATGCAGATGGGCGAGGTGTGCACGTTACTGTGTAAACCAGAGTACGCTTATGGATCTGCGGGAAATCCTGAAAAAATTCCTCCCAACTCGTCAGTTGTGTTTGAGGTAGGTGTGCCACGTCAGTGCTGCCATTTGTGTCATGCATTGTTTCTGCGTCACCCTGAGGGATACTATTCAGGCTTTCTCTGGTTTTTATAATCAATTACAATTACAGCTCTGGATTCAGCTCTGGGAAATATCTGAAGAGATTTAGCCATTCTGCTCGGTTTTACACGTTACCCCCCCATGGCACATGTTAGTCATAAAAATGAATTTTAATTAATTTGTTAATACTCCCAATCTTACCTAACTGTGTCAGGTGTTACCACACAAGCAGGTGTTCAATGGTATATGTGATTGCTCACTATATTCAGATTATTCATTCGTTTTTAACAGAGGTATCGACATTTTGGCAACATTACTGTAACTCCCCTTATTTAGCATTCACAAGCCATATATTATTATAACTAATATTAGTTAAATGCATTATAACATACGGTGATGTAATTGTATGCAGCTATAAGTGCTTATTAACGCTTTTGTCAACAACTATACATCCTCCTGCACCTGTAAGTGTAGGCTGCTGTATACACAGATAGTGAATGATAATATAATAAAATACAGTGTGATAATATTGTCTAAAATGATGTACAAGTTGTAAAAAATGTTGATTTGTTTGAATAGTGCAGCCATAAAAACTGTGGTTTTAATATTCTTCTCAGTGTAAAATGCAGCTTCAATAAAGAGTTGCAACAATATTTACTATATACTTTCAGACAGGGTGATTTTTCGAGCCTAAGGCTGCCCATGGGGAATAGAAGAGGGGACTGGATGTTAAAGGGCTATTTAGCTGAGAGGGTGTTTTATCTTCGCTTGTTTTGTTCAATAGAGGTATGGAGCGTATATGTCTGATTAAACAGTCTACCTGTACTGTTACTTTAATAGTCATTATTTATCTTTCTTTTTTTAAATCATGACTTGATGTGATGACTCCTACTTTGCTTTCCCCCTCCCACACCTACTATAACATCATACACTCAGTTCTGCAGAGCTGTCATTTTGTATTTGTTTCGTAATGAACAATCATTGAATTAACGTTTACGACTAAACAGATGGAGCTACTCAAGTTTGAAGGAGAGATTCTCACTGACGATTCCGGCATCATAAGAAGAATAAAGGTCAAAGGTGACGGTTACACTAATCCCAACGATGGCTCAAGCGTTGAAGGTAAGGTAATTATTTTCTTAATGGATAATTACTGATATTGTACCAAATAACCATTACATTAAACTGTTATATCAGAGGTTAAATTGTGTCATGATTTGTCTCGTTTGACTCACAGTGCACCTGGAGGGAAGGTGTGGTGATCGACTGTTTGACTGCAGGGACGTCTGCTTTATTGTCGGCGAGGCTGAGGATAAAGGCGTTCCTCTCGGAGTGGACCGAGCCATGGACAAGATGCAGAAAGGAGAGTGCTGTGTACTTTACTTAAAACCAAAGTAAGTTACTTAAAACCAAAAAAATACTAATTTTTCTATTTTAATATGCATTTCTTTCTTCTCTGATATGTGGTTTTGAAGACCAATACCATAACCAGAAGAACCCATACATTTACAAATATCTAATCTTTCAGCAATGCTGCTGATGCTACTATTATCAATATATATTTTGTACATGTGTGCGGACTCACATATATTAAATATTATTGAACAGTATTGTATCTGTGGAAAGCACTCACTGACAGTAACCTGAATACTGAAAGGCTAACTTTTGCCTGATATATTGAGCATATGGTACGAATATTAGTTTATCAAGATGCTGTAATGTTCCAAAAGATGTACATCTAAATGAACAGTATATTTAATCTCTTATTTGTCAGGGTCATTTCTAAAAAGCTTAAAATCCATCAATGCGTGATTTGGGTCCCCAACACCTGAATGAGTCATCCAAAAGATAAAGAAAATTCATATAGGTCAGAAATAAGGAGCTATTACAAAGGTAAAAAGAACGTATTGTATTGCCCAAACCACATAATATAATTCTCTTAACCCCTCCCACACAAACCTAACCAATTATCTCCTCAGGCAAAAGCAATACCAAGTAGTGGCTGGTGACAAGTACCACGAATTCATAGCAAACTAAGAGTAAATGCAGAGTAGTAATAACAGAAAGTGAATCTGAAATAAGAAAATATAGACACACAAACGAACAAAAGCAGAAACTACTCTTTACATAATGCGTCTCCAATTTAAATCCCCAAAATCCACATTAATTACTCCTCTTAGGGATTAGAACTATCCATTTCTGCTACTCCTACGTCTTCCCTTTCAAGAAACTGTCATCCCATCTTGTAATATGTATGAAATTTCTTCGAGTGAATTTGTTCTTCAGGCTCATGTTCTTTTTGTTTTGTACAGGTATGGCTTTGGAAGCGAAGGTAAACCTGAGTACAAAGTTGGACCAGACAGAGACTTGATATACGAAGTTACCCTCAAAAGTTTTGAAAGGGTGAGTCCCATTGTTTTCTTCAATGTCTGAAGAAATAAACATTAGTTTTGGTTTGTTTTTCTATTTAAGACAAATAAGTACACTTTGAGCAAAGTTCAACAAGTCCTGCATAGTTATGTAGATCGGTTCAGCTGACACTAAGACAATGACAACCAATGTTTATTCCCTTTATTTTAATCGTGTCTTTAATTGTGTTTCCACAAGGCTAAAGAAACCTGGGAAATGGAGTTGCCTGAAAAGCTAGATTTGGCTGCTGGAGTTAAGCATAAAGGGAATCAGTATTTTAAGGTACAGTCCTCATCTTTTGTCCAAACAAATTAATTGATATTTTATTGTTAACATGTTCCTAAAATGCTATTATCTTCCTGTGTTAGGTAGGTCTGTACTACCAGGCAGTCATCCAGTACCAGCGTATCGTTTCCTGGCTGGAGATGGAGTGTGGTACTGGGATAGAGCAGCAGAAGAGGATACAGTCTTTTACGTTGACAGCACACCTCAATCTAGCATTGTGTTTCCTGCGGATGAAAGAGTTTTCACAAGTTGTGGACAACTGCAACAGGGTGAGCTGCAACACCCTGGTGATATTTATCCATATTTAAACACCATTTAATGTCACTACTTTGTCTCTCTGCGTCTTACCTAATTACTCTTTTGTGTGTTTAAGGTGATTGAGCTTGATGAGGACAACGAGAAGGCTTTGTATCGTCGTGGGGAAGCCCGTCTCCTTCGTAACGAGTTCAGCATGGCCATGGAAGACTTTCAGCAAGTGCTGCGAGTCAACCCTTCAAATCGAGCGGCACATGCTCAGATTTCCATCTGCCAGAGCAAGATTAAGGAACATCATGAACAGGACAAGAAGACCTACGCCAACATGTTCCAGAAATTTGCCGAACGGGACACCAAGGTCTGTCCACTTACTGTTCTTGGCTAAATGTAGACAGTCAGCCGGACATGTTTGTGTTTTGTCTTCTTTAACTAAGAGAATTTAATATTAACAATTATCTTAAATTAGAAGAAACAGTTACAACTCTACTAATCATTTTGTTTTGCAGAGTTTTATGACCTACCAAACCAGGTAGGTGGACCAGATTTGTTTTAATAACAAAATTGAAACAAATCAGGTCCACAATAATTACAAGATTAAGGCCCACTGCATTCATTATTTTAAGATAAGTAGAACAATGAATAGTTTAGGGACTAGACTTCACAATTGTTAGGACATGGAAATGTGTTATTTTTAGGAACTATGAGGACAATTTGATGTATTTCAGCTCTGGAAATTACATTGGACACATCTGACTCCCATAAATTAATTAGTTAATTGACACGGTTTGGGATTTTTTTCAACTAATGGTCAACCATTTTAAATTTCATGGCAAGACTTATTGATACAACTGATGGAGCTTCATCCCACCGATACCAGCCCAATGTCCTGTAACATTGATAATGTTGATATTCATAGCAGGACCCCCTTCATTCAAATATATTACAATAATATAGCTGATTTATATTTTTTATTTCAAAGGTTTGAATTACATTTTGATAGTAAAACTGTATCCGCGTTCTGTGTATTACTGTGCTTTCTTCAGTATTACACTGACCTCTAGTGTTCATTCATTGATATGTTGATTTTCTCACCTATTGATGCTCTTCTCTTGAAAAAAAATGGAAAAGGAGCTATTGTCTCAAGAGTAAAAAAGAAACAACACAAAACGCTATTAAACCAACTTCTTTATATTAATGACAAATCTATTTACATTTTCAGTTGTTGTAAGAGGAGGCACATTCTCACGAATTGGACATAGGGCATGTAAAATCTATGACTATTTTTATCATTTTTATGACTTTCCTTATCAACAGTGTTTCGTTTTTTTGACAACTGTAGTCATGTGTGCTTTATCTCCTATCAACAGATTGGAAAGACGAAGAGGAGGCGGGATGAGAGCGTGAGGAGCAGCATGAACGGTGAAGTGAGCAACAAACGACGGCGGAGGAGTCAGGACTGCCCATCGTAAAAGAGACATTTAAAGGGGAGGAAAAGAAAGACATGCTTTCCTTTGCTTTCCAAGTCCAGGAAGCAGGGGCAGGAACGAAGTCGTATAAAAGCCTCTAATCCAAACCTCTTCATCCCAAAATCCAACATTACCATTCCTGCATACAAAGCAGAGTTTAAACAGGGACGTTTGCAAGCCAAACAGCATTTCCCTTGTCACATGGCCTGTGCAACTGCCAGGACGTACCTTCAAATGGAATTAGCAACGCAGAATCAGTGAGTTAAGATTGGTGAACACTTCAACCCCCCATCTTTTGTTTCTTTAAAAACACAGAGCAATTCCTTTGAATTTGCCATTAGGCTACAGTGTAGAGTTCAGATGTGCCTCCACAGTGTGTTTCATATTCCCAAACTGTATGTGCTGATTTTCAGACCTCTGGCTTGTATTTGCTATTAAGCCTTTTTCTTGGGCAGCTGCATGCAGACATCACGAGGTGTTTGGGATTGAGACATGAAACTTTGCTATTTTTGAATTTTGCAATACCATATGTACTTTGGATAAAAGGCTTATCAAGTCCCAGAAGCTCAGTGGTATTTTAAACCTTTCCCTGCAAAAGTAAGAAAAAGTAAAAACCCATAACTTTGTTCATACAAATATAATAACGCCTGCATTCATGTAAAGTAATGTTGGGAAAACTGAAAATACAGAAATATTAAAGTGTTAGAAATCTAGGACTTAAAAACAATTGTCCTCCAAACATGAATCTCCAATATTGCTTTAATCAACAATAGAAACCTCAAGTTTCCGATCAGCAGAGGTAGAGCGTAGAATCTGAAACAAGCACAAACTACAGATACTAAATTATACCAAAACATAAATCTTTAATTCTGGCGTTCTGGCAAAATCACAATTCACTGTACTTGGTTATTGCTAGTAACAGCTGAATTAATATTATTTTGTGACATTGAGCTGCTACCTATACAGGGAAATTAGTATTTTTTTAAAAGCCTACAACAGAACATAAACTGTGGTGCAGAAATTATTTCCAGAAATATAATTCAAATTAAGCCCCTTGTTTTGGGCAAAGATGAAGCGTTGTTTTACAATGAATAAGACCCTGCACTAAAATAATTTATTCATGAATGCATGTGTGATAGGTAATTTTTAATTTGTTGAAATCTTGTTTTTTATCCATTAAACACGAGTTTTGTTTATGAGAAGCCAGTCTAGTATTGTAGTAAAAGGATGATCTGTGGGAGTGATAACAGATGACAACATCCTTTTCATGGACTGATTACATTTTAAGACGGCAGCTGCAAAACCTTAATGAAAAAAAATACAAAAGTATAAAATATATATATAAAATTATATGTTTCTACTCCCAAGGTTTGGTGGATTTTAGTGATTGATGACTTTCTTCTTCTGTTGCACTTATTGTATGTTTATCTATCAGCTAATTGCATAAACAAGCATGGCACAATCCTCAACACACAGAATCTTCAATTAACAGATGACTGTCAGAAATCCTTATAATTATGATGATAACCTCTTACAGAAGGAGGCATTTGATCATAACATCCTATTCCCACCTCTGTATTTGTGAGTGCAAGTGGGAGAGAGACACAGAAACCACAATTAAGCTTTAAAACCGTCAGAACCACAGTCAAATCTTTCAGAAATATCAAGTCTGGTAATGTGATCAACGACATTTTACATCTGTGTAGGTCTTTTTGCCTCAGTCTCAGCACTGGTGTCTCTTTATTTCACTGCATCTATTTCATTTTTTTAATTTTTAATTTTAAATGTGTGAATGTTAGATAGTAGACAATGTTGCACATTGGTGACTGTCAAACCAACGCTGTTATCTTTTCATGAAATGTCTAGATACGGTCTTGACAATAATCTGAAAATGTTTTATAAACATTGGTTGGTTCAGAATGAAAACCTTAGCTGTCTTAAATATTTTATGTAAAAAAATCAACAGTGTGTATGTGTGTTAATATATATTGTTGTACGTTAGCAAGGTTTTTAAACAGCCTATTGCTTTATGTTTTCAAGTACTGCTGGCTCTAAACATTCAAACATTTTGTACAGTGGAAATGAGCATGAAGTACTTTTTTTTCGAGCAATTATAAATTGCATTTAAGTATATACAGAATATTTATCCCTCTTTGTCAACTACAAAAAAAATTCCCAGCCTCTTAGTGCTACATTGATTTTTGATAACTTGACAGGAATAAATTGGAAAAAGTGTACATACACAAGCAGGATAAAATGCAGCTGGTCAAACTGCAGCACTGCCAATGTGAGATTCAATTAGAACTGTTATGTCGTACAAAATGTTTACATGTATTCGATTGATCTTCACCGTGTAAAGCAAAATTGTTATCAATGTATTAAAACGGCATTTATGCAAAAGAAATATTTTCAGACAAGAAAATGCACAAGGTACCTTTGTTCATGTGTTCTTTATATATATTTTTTTATTTTCTTTTGCACTTTAAAAGCATATAATAAATCCAAGAGTTGCATTTAAAGAAATATGTCATTCTTCAAGTTATAGGTCAATATTTCTACCGTGTGGTAACATCTTTAACGTTTGCTTTTGACACTAGCTGTATTGTCATACAAATAGTTAAATGGTAAAACTATCATAAAGAAATAAGTTTAAAAATGTTGTACTCGATTTGACAAAATAGATTTTGTGTATCAGGATAGCTCCACCCTTCAGCACCATCATTACCAACATCTTTAAATTGTTACTTTAGTTTAATTTCTTAATTCTTTAAACTTAATTTTAAAAATATTTCCTCCTCAAAGAGTCTTTAACTCTTAGAGGAAACATCACATTTAATTCTCCGAAAACAAGAACAGATCTTGTGAATTTTTGCATTTTTTTCTGCATGGTATTTTAGGAGATAACCAGATATAGGAATTGTTCCACCATTTTTGGCTTTGCAGAATCAGAGCTACTCATTTATACTGACAGGTTATGTTTACACTCAGGTTGAGCCCATCATGCATGGTAGCTATACATTACATTGATTTACCACGTAACTGTTTTTTCAGGCCACATGGGGGCAGTAAAAACAAGCTGTGAACACAATATTGACACATCATCACTTTTCAGTTGATATGGTGAACATAGAAAACAGTTGCTTGCTTACACATCCAGCAGTTATCGAGCAACATTATCATTAATGTTTTTAGTCTCCACCAACTCCTGACGGAAATGACTGGCTAAGTAACAGCTAAAAGCTCCATGATGTTCACCAGCTAGTTGCTAACTGTCTGTCAGCTGAGCAGGTCCAGTGGATTTTAGAGCTTTTTCACTGAAAACAACGCAGTGAGAGTGAACCAGAACAGTGAAGTTTTGAGCTTAAACTCACTATAAAGAAGCAAGGGGAGATGCAGATTCTGGTGATTCTTTGTAGATCCATTTCTACATGCCACCCTTTTCACATTGTTTCATTCAGTAATTTCACACATTTTTATTATAAAAATATTGTTAATAGCAACTTTAATATTTATGCTCTAATTTGGGTAATTCTTACCCTTGGAAACAGCAGTTGAAAAAGCAATCTACCACAAGATCTGTTTGGTCTGGAGCTTTTGGTTATATCACATGATCGTCATCAACAGATGGAGTTTGCTCGGTTGTCAAATAATTGTAGTTGTTCAAATGTTCATTTTTCTGGGCTCTTTAAGGACTTTTTGTCCATGCAGCTCCATCTGTTGAGGGAAGTCATGTGATCTGAGCCACAGAACTTATGAAAGCTATTGATGTATTGTAGCTTAGCAGGACATTGTTTCCAAATGTCCTTGTGTGGGTGCATTCAAAGACACAAGCAATTATGAATTATGATTCCTTTATTGGGCTCTAAAAACTACACCACCCAGACAATAACCTGTTTCTGTAGTGTACTCACAAAACAAATTATTTCTGAATTATTGTGACTTATTTCAAATAATATGAATTGTTAACATTTTTATTAAAACTGAATTTACAGATTGTTGATTTTCATGGTTTTCATGGTCAAAAAACGTTCATTCGACAACAAACTGGTAACTGATCATTACAGAATGTTTCTAAATTAATGACCTACAGTATATTTTATTATATCTGATTCTGATTCTTAAGTCAGTTTGACCAAATGAAATAATCAATACTGATGAGCCACCAGCTTACTGAGGCCTATTAGTAATTTATCACATGAATACCAGATGGCTATATGCATGTGTAATATTTACAAATGGCACATTGTTTAATAAGAATCAAACCATGACGTTTAACGTGTTATGTAACAGTCCTATGATTCTTTCAATCACATGAACATTTTCATTAATTAAATATTAGCAAACTGGTTGATCATAATGTATTAAATGTATGAATGTATAAAATGTTCTCAATTTAAACACAAGTTCATCAGCTCTCTCTATCCAATAAAACTGTATTGTGGAATATGTTTAGAGGGAAACGTATGTTGTCGTGGATTATGACAAAGGGTTGTAATTCATTGAATTTGTTCCACAGATATCTAGAAAACATTTTCTTAAAAAAAAAAAAAAGTTATTGAGTGATCTTGAAATGTGAAAAATGTCATGTTACAGCATTTACATAAAGGAATAATGCCACAAATGTCAATGATACATGATACAAAAAACAATCGAACATGACATGAATATCGACCTGCGCCTTTTGAATAACAACTATAATAAACAAGCTTAGAGCTTAGAGCTTTTAACTCTGTTAAAATTATACCCTTTGTGATTCTAACTGTTACAACCAACAGGTTTGCTCTGTGTTTCTGTTTTTTTGCATTTGGTAAAGCACCAAAACTTCAGCGAGTTGAATTGTGGTGATGGACGCCATCGCCACAATTCAACTCGCTGATGTTTAGTTTTAAAGCCAAACACAAACTTGTAAATGCTGAGCTGTTTCCTATCTGTGTGAGCAGTATGCACTTTTTAAGTCGTTTTTAGTTTTTAGCAGTACTTGGCACAGGTCAGAAACACTTTAATGTTGGGACAGCCCGGTGGCTCAGATGGCTATGGTGCAGGCAGTGTCCGAGGTTTGAATCCCACCCTTATTGCTGGATAACCTTTCTTCTTTAATGTCACTGTTTTAGTTATATTGACAATTCAAAATAAAATTTCCGTCACTCACAGCGACCTAAAAGTGACTCAATTGTTCAATCTGTATGGCTTATTTGGCAAGTGTTTATCAGTGTTATTTAACTCCAGATAGTTATACAACCTGGTTAAACAAAACAAAACAATATTTCTTTACATAAATAACTATTTAAAATATCAATATGACCGATAACATTTAAGGTTCACTTGCTAATAGATATGAAACAACTAAGAGATGAATCAATTGATCAAAAGAATACTAATCCATCACCAACGTGAGGATTGTGAATGATTTGCTGCTTTTTATTCATTTTATATTAAAGGTAATTTATTGTCTTCAGAACATCTGAACTCATGGCTCTGGGAAATTCAGATGTGCATTTGTCACTATTTGCTGACATTTGACAATAAGTATTAGAAATCAATAGATCAACTGATAATGAAAGTAATCAATAGTTGCAGCCCTACTCACTAGCTGTCAGTGCTGTCAGCGATAAGAGTTCAAGTGACATCTGAGACAGCTGCATTTATTTGCGACCATTAAATGTGGATGAGAGCAACAAATAGACATTGCTTTGTTTAAGAGGGCCAAAAAGATTTTGAACCTTTCCTTAAATTGAGTAGGACTGTATTGAAGACGTGCTTTTCCTTATGCCTCATGGTGTTCAGTAAATGTGAAGCTGCTCCAGTTTGTTGTCGTCAATAGGACACCATGCTGTCAGGAGATGCGGTCAAGTCGAGCAGTTCAGCAGTTGTCTGATTTGTTCGAAGAAATGTCTTCAGCTGGAGTGCATAAGATTGAGATCCTCTAATAAAGGAGAATATAGGTTTTAGTAAAAAACATAAAACCCACAATTACATAGCTTTTTGGAGAGGTGTTGACCCATTTAGATGTACAAACAGCTTACCTGTCGCAGTGTACCAGGAGTGGTGCTCAATTTGTACAACATAAATAGAGGAACAATGAGCGTAGAGGAGAGAGTGAACCACCAGCCAAGAGCATAGCCCCACCACGGGTACTCAATTATGTTGTTGAACTTCAGAGGAGTGTATTTGATTAAGGAGAAAACAAACGTTCCCTGAAAATAGTCACAGAAAAAGCAGTTAAAGTATTGGCTAGACAATGTACAAAATGTCAGAAATGTTCCCCAAATCAACCCGAGCTACGATAAAGTAAATGTGGAATTTAAAAATAAATAAATCAACATGTAATATGAGTAACTTGGTAATCGAAACCTCTAAAAGTGTACAAAGTTAAATACAGAGCATATCTATTGCCCCCACACGGCTCTCAACATGGCGACGGCTGAGCTGGTGGTTTGCGGCTAACGGTGTTAACAGCTCTATCACTGCAATCATCGGGAACAGTGCTGATAGAGCTAACACTGTTAACCTGAGGGGAGACCGGATGGTGGGCCTGACGCTTCCGCAACAACGACCTCGGTCAATATGGCGTTATCAGCTGGAACCACAGTGTGAAGGCAGTGAAGAGCATGCACCAGCATGCACCAACATGCACCAACATGCACTAACATGAGCTAAACAACCGGCCCAGCTATGTCAACAAAGCACAGCAATGCTCTGATTACAACACACACAGAGGGAGGGCAACTTTATTCTCTGCTCCGGTAGACATTACTCCACTATATCTTTACATTTCAAAAAGTTGTTTGCTCTTATTATAGAGAACCTTTAAAAAAGGAGCTGGCCGATGCTGCGCTATGATTGGACAGTATGCGTTCAAGGGGCGGGACTTAGCGAAGGGACATACTGACTGAGTGAACTCTTTCTGCAACTCACCATGCATATTACTGGAGTGACGTATTTCAAACAATACTTAAGCAGGGGTAAAGGCTTGTATCCAATCATGTCCTCTATGTTATCATAAAACCGATCTGCACCTGTAAGTAGATAGAAAAGCAGTGGTGAAGGAATTCATCATCACAGTGAAGAAACCATGCACATTCCTCTTGTTTATTAACTCACCGTATATCCATCCAACACAACCAGACTGCAGTATGGCAAAGAGAAGTAGAGTCATCCCACTACAGGCATAGTAGTCAAACAACTGGAAGATGTACAGTCCACCCTGTGTGAGACATCAGTTAGCTGTTCTTTTAACAAAAGAAAACAAGGCTATGGTAAAAGAAGTGACGTGACATTTTAATATGATATTACATCTGTAACCATCACAAGTCCAATGAAGAAGCTGACAACACTGATCACAAGTAGAAGAAGTTTACGTCGATGGCCAACATGGAAGAAGGAAGGATTTGTGTCTGAAATTGATGTTACGAGGGCTTCCAGACCTACAAACTGAAACAGAGTTACCGGTTACACAACTCCATTATGCTGCACACAAACATACAAACTTTGCAGAGATAATTTCATAATAATTGAATAAGTACTCAGAGAGTGAATACCTCTGCCAAGGCTGCACAATCCTCTAATCTAGTTATTTTTTATTCTAAAGATTAAGATAAGACGTTTTTGTATGCATTCGGATCTGGATCTAAAACAAGACACACAAAGTGACCAAATCATGGGATACATGTGTAAGATTTTTTTCTCACATTAGTAATTGCTGCAGTCAATGATAATGATGTTAATACATTTTCTCACAGTGTTGTAAATCTGTTGGCTATATGCAAACAGACAAACAAACAAGAGCAAAACACATCTAGAGGTAATACATTGATCTCTTTCTAACTGTGAGACACCCACAGACCTCCAACCAAGAGCCAAAGATCATAAAGCTAAACCTACCACATGTTCATGAAGACTGTCATGCAACGTATGCATATAATAAAGGGAAGAAAATCTATCCAGGTCCTCGTGAACAGAAAATCTGCATTTCAAAATGTTATTTTATGATCATTAAAAATATACAGTACTATCCTCAAATGAAAACTTTAGTCAAGAGGGAAATAAAACTGCTGTTTCTGGTTCTCTCAGTGCTTAAGGAGAGTCAGCTTACCTCACTGTCCAGTCCCAGCAGGATGATCATAACGAAGAAGAATATCGCCCAGATTTGGGGAAAAGGCATCATGGCAACTGCTCGAGGATAGGCAATGAACGCCAAGCCGGGGCCTGCAGTCACAATGGGATGTTTAAAATAAAATATTGGGCAAAATTGAATGCTGTTGAGTCAAAATATCTCACTTGTATGGCAATGAATTGCATTTTTGTGCTATTGTTGACCCTAAACGTACAATTCTCATTAATTCCTTGATTTATTCATTAATAACATTTTCTACATTCTTACCCGACTCTGCCACGTTTGATATGTCTGTGTTCTGCTCATATGCCATGAATCCAAGTGCAGAGAAAATGGCAAAGCCAGCAACAAAACTCGTCCCACTGTTCAGAAGGCACAAGTACACACAGTCCCTAAAAAAAAAAAGACACAAATACATTTTATACTCCCTTTATTTTGAATTAGATCTATGACACTTTTACATTGTTCTTTCCGTACTTGGGACTCACATCCTAAAATGCCCAAAGATGGCTTTTTATATTCATGGCAAGACTCCTGAATACACAAGAAATACTTTGTGAGTAAACTATACTTCAAAGCGATGTGGTATTCTTGGTTTAAGCTACTTCAAATTTATTTTTGCCTAAAATGGGCATTGAAGATGTTCTGGCTAACGGTTCAAAAGCTCTTGTTTGTGTCTGTGAATCTATGTAAACCAAATTAAAAAACACATTATACATATTAAATCGAACTTACTTGTAACAGTTGTTGTTGTACTTGTTATAACTGCCAAGTGAAGTTAGACACCCAATGCAAATAGCATAGGAATAACATATTTGTGTGCCAGCGTCCATCCACACCTGCAAGACAATAAAGGACATGTTTTTATCTCCAAAATTACATATGAAATATGAAATTTACTAAGTGTTGCAACTCCGCAGTAAACCTAGACCAGGGGTCGGCAACCTTTTCTATCCAAAGAGCCATTTTGCTCTATTTCCCACCAAATAAAATTCGTCTGGAGCCGCAAAAGCTATTTGATATCACAGCTTATAAAGTTGTATATATAGTTATATTATATATGCAAAAACTATAGTTTGTTATATTTATGAAAATATAGAACAAGAATAAAGACAATTCTTGACATTTTTTTGCAATTTTACCTGTTATAACAATATCAAACTCTTATGAAGAGCTCAGTTTGCTGCAGCAGCTGAGAACTCGCTCTTTTTCGCTCATCTCCAGCGTGACACTTTTCAGCACATGCTGTGTGCTTGTTCTGGAAGCATGCAGGTAAGCCAGCATCGTTGGCAGTGAAAGCAAATGAAGACGTCCACGCAGAGTTAAACTCTCTATTCTCCTCCGTGACTTTTCTTTTTTTGGATTTATCCATTGATAGTTTACAGAGGGCGGGGGTCTGAAAATCATGATTAGCCACCTGCAGGGAAAAGCAATTTCCCTGCTCTTCTTTCTATTTCCTCGTCTCAGCCCCGTGTGTCACGTGTGTGTGTAAACCTCGCTCGAGTCAGGAAACTTGTCAGAATACCCATATTTGATTGGCTGAGCTGCATCACGTGTGATTTGCAACGCATTGGTCCGTGTGTTTCCTGCACCGCCGAACAAGTGCCGTAACGGCTGAATAAGAGGCGCCGGTTAAAGTTTAAACTCGGTGCCCAATATGTATAATTCTGAATTATCTATCGGTTTTTAGTTCCTGGGTCCGGATCCGGTGCGCCAGTTGGGAACCTCAGGGAGCCGCAACAGAGAGGCTAAAGAGCCGCATGTGGCTCGCGAGCCGCAGGTTGCCAACCCCTGACCTTGACAGAACCACCTAAAACAGATCTTTTTAATGTTTTACTCTGTGGTCGATTTGTGTGGCATCACCATAACAATCATCTGCAAATGCAGTTACCGTATGGTAACCAATCCTTTCAATCTCTGGAACTCTGACTTCCCCTTAACTTTCCACTAAAGTGTAGCATATTTAAGATATGTCATTGTTTTGCATTTCCTTGCTCAAGCATATCATTTGAGCTACATAATTTTTTTAAATTGACTGCTATTATGTGATTAAACCAAACACATGTATACACATTTCTGTATAGTTCAGCTTTATGTCTTTGGAAATTTACAACATTTTAACAGTGCTTCTACAAACAAAATGCATTTGTTAACGAGGGTTATAGAGGTGGTAGGTTCAGGAGAGTCACATGGCATTCAAACAGAGAAGTAGTGAAGAGTGCTCAAACCTGTGGATCAGACAGGCGGGATGGATCTGGGTAGAGGTAGAACTTGATCCCATCTATGGCCCCTGGCAACGTGACTCCACGAACAAGCAGCACCGCCAACATCAGATATGGAAATGTGGCGGTAAAGTAAACTACCTGTGGAAGAGTAAGGGTTATTTTGTGGCAGAATGGTGGACTTTGATAGCTGTGTTGCCAGGATGGATGCTGTGGGGTCACCGTACTGTGGAGCTCCTGAAACAATATTCAACATTGCCTTGAATATCATTTTTGAGCGTGTTTTGAGTCAAATGCCCAGAGCTTTTATGAAAGATGAAAAGTTAAGGAATCATATCTTACATACAGTATCTGTAATTTAAGTTTATATCCTGTGTAGTGGCTTCTTCCCTCTCATGTTCTTTTATTTTATACTATTCAAACATGAACTTTGTACAAGTACATCATGGTTTCAGGCAGTGTGTCTGGCAAAGTAATAGGTTTGCAATGGTTTTTTTTTGTCCTGAAGCATTATCCTTTAATGGTTGATTTTAGTTTAAACCAACAGTTTAAGAGTTGGTAAAACATAAATCATTCTACAGTCCTTACCTTCCCAGTGGACTTTACTCCTTTCCAGACACAAAAGTAACAGATGATCCAGGACAACAGAAGACACAGAGCCAGCTCCCATCGAATGCTGCCTAAATCATGGATACTTCCTGTAAGATTCAGAACTCTTCTCCTGAAAATCACATTTTTTGTTATTATTCATGAAAGTCAAATCACTTTCAGAACTTAGTACCATATTTAGGTTTAGTTTGCATACTCACTCCCAAAACTCTCTCACTGGTGATGTTGCATTTTCAGCAGCAGTCCAGTTCAAATAACCAGCTCTTCGATCAAACTCCACACAGGTCTCTGTTGCAAAGGCATACAGGATGCTTTAAACAATGCATTCAAGGACAACTACACACATTATAACATTCTGCCTTTGTCAAAGCCTTTATTTAATTTTGTTTCTTATTTAACTTGATAAATGGAAAGGGGGATCATTTCCAAAGAGCCTAATCTATTAAGTACTGAGCGAATGCAAAGTCCTTGCTGCCTCCTGGTCTGTATGGAGGGTGACTAAACCTGAATTGGTAGACACCAGGAATCTTGAACCTTTTGGATAATCCTTTGAGTAAGTCTGGTTGGATATGTGGGGGTGAGGGTGTTATGTTGGATATAGGAGAGGGAGCCAGGGGACTTGTGTTGAGCGAATAGTTCTGGTTATGATTTGCGTGGTTGTGTTAAGCTAGGCATCCACATGATGACAGCAGCACAGTACTCTATAGAGTATACAAGGGCCAGAGCTCAGGTGCGCAATATAGGGGCTGCTACCCCCCCCCCCAGTCTATTAATGACAAAAGTAAATGGATTAAATACCATTTTACACTAGTTTGTGGTTTCTGAAGCTCCTCTATGTTCACCTAAAATCTTCGTTTAAGATGTGTATGCCAACCAGTTAGGTGTGGAAACTTCAAACCTCCTGCCCACACTCACTGAGAATGGCGTGGAGAATGTGAGGGGGGGATCTCCAGATCCTCAAATGAGCCAAAAAATCGGATTAATTCATTATTGAACTAAAGATTCATAATAATCTTATTATTTGTTTGTTTTCATGTATGTTTATTTCAGTCACATTGCATACTGGGACAAACCTGTGTTCCAGTTGTTTCTGCAAGTCGCCCAGGGAAGTTCAGCGTTGACAGAGTTGAAGAGATACAGGAAAGCCCAGGCCAATATGATGATGTAATAGATGCTGGCGTATAAAACAACCACAAGATTGCCATAACCTATCCCTGACAAAAAGAGACAAACAAAGAAACAAAAGTATTTAAATAAAATAGCAAGAAACATATAATTATCACATCTAATTATGAATATATATAATTACATTCAAATAAAACAAATAGCATGATACTGATAAAACTGATAAATTAAATATTATAATAATGCCATTTAAAGGAAATCAATGTCACATAATAAAACCTGACCACTGTATTTATCCTAAGCATTAAGCAGGGGAGCAACTTGGGGTTCTGTGTCTTGCTCAAGGACACGTAAACGTATGAGCAGTGGTAACAAGTGATTAACCGATCGACCTTGTGTTTAAAGATCAACCTGCTCTAACCGATCTACAGCCACCCCACAACAATATTGATACTGCCCAGGCTGTTATTGCAGAATAAATACAGTGTAAAAAACATTTTTTCTGTTGTAGATTTAGTAAAGATATGTCAGCTTGACTCCATGCTTACATGAGAAAGATCATCCATTTTGGTAACTCATTTAGCCAAATGTAATAGCTCACAGGGGGCAATATTTAACCAATGCGAACCATGTCAATGTGTTTGTTACAGGTTTACCAAACCTGACACAGTTTACTGGGTTTCTTAGAAAAGATGGTGTAAAAGTGGTTGGACAAGTTTATTCTAAACACAAAACTGACATAGGTTGCGTTTGAAAGGTGGTGAAATCACTTTCATCACATTCTGCAAGATTTGTAGCAAAAGTGTCAGCACACAAAACAAAAATTTGAAGAAGAAGAAATATATATTTTCATGAGAATTTGAGAAAATATAATACAGTATTACTGCCCTGCAGAATATAGTTCAGATTAGCACATATACACATGTTGTCTGTAATATCACATTTTTTAAATGTAGGGATGTTTTGTCTTACATTCACTGCAGCAACTGTAGAAAAATGCGAGTGCATGAATTTTACAATTTGTTGTGCGAAGGATTAGAACTGAGAGGTTGCAATAAACACAAGAGCTTGCACCTCATTTTTGGTGGGTTATCTTCATTACTTAAAGGCCCAGGCAGCCATTTTTTGAGCGTGTCATAAACGTATATAAACATGTTTTAATTTGATTATTTATTTAATATTTTTTTGATGTGACATTAATAGTCTGAAAGTGATTCTACATCTTTACCTTCAAAAAGGGGACAAATGTTCCTCCAGCAGGTAATACTTCCCTGTTTGGTGTACTGGCCGAGTGACGTCTCCAGGAGAAACAGGGGGATGCCGCAGGTAAAGAGGAAGAGGACATAAGGAATGAAGAACACCCCTTGAGAAAACAGAAAGTTACTCCACATGAGTTGTTTTACAGGTTGAGCACTTATGGTAAGCCACAAGAATCATGATCATTTTTATGATTTAAAAAAGATCTGGTTCCCGCAGCTTTCATTTCCAATTCAATATTTGTTTCTAGTTGCCATCAAGTGCTAACCCAGTCGGAGTTGTTTTTACATTCTGCATGTGTACTTTTGAACAAAGTAGTTGTTCCGAATTTCTTTGACTATTACGAAACTGACCTCCTCCGTTTTTGTAGCACAGGTAAGGGAACCTCCACACATTTCCTAGGCCTATGATTTGTCCTGCAACAGCCAAGAGGAACTCCATTTTGCTTGACCATTGTCCTCTGGTCAGGGTGCTGGGTGCAGGATGTGCTGTGCTCACATCCAGCATGAACTTGACCTCTGGACCATAAGGCTTCTCCATTGAACTGAAACAAGAGGGTCAACGAAGTGGCGTTCAGTGACAAAATTACAATGTTCACACAATGATATAAACTACATTTTCAAAGTAATTATTCATGTTATTTGTGGATTTCATTTTGCAGTAGCAAATTGTGACTAAAGAGCACATGCTCAGTTTAGATGTCAACATACACATTAACCACAGCAGGGATGTTGACAAGATTCAATCACTGTTTATTAATGTTCACAATAAATACAATACCAGCAGTCTTGTTGTATTAAGTCAGCAGAATCAGTAACTCTTGGCATGAGTGGAATATTTTCATCAATGTTCCTTTTGTGTTGCTGCCCCGGATTTGATGTGGGACTGGAGCAAATGGACTAGAAAATATGTGTGTTACTACACTACTGTTAAAATGCTCAAAACAACTTTCCTAAAGTTTTTTCAGGATCATTAAGTGAGAGGAGAATTATGAAAAGTATCCAAGTATATGAGTGAACATGCAAGGACTCAGTTTTTTTGTTTTTTCTCTCAAGTTACTAACAAAGAAATATAGATAATAGGGACAAGGACAACAAGCTGCACAGATAAATATAGATGTAAAAGAATATTATATGAATATTAATAAAAAGGAGCAATGACCAACAATACAATAAGATATAAAATGTCTATATAAAAGTCAAGTGCAAATTGTGCAAATCAATAAATACTGAATTGAAATACAAGGACTGGATGATTGCTTGTGTACAACAAGTTTGACCAATGACATTGCATGAGTGGACATAGCATAGCCCAACCTATACTGGGTTTTTGATGCCTAGTATTAAATTGATATTTTATCAATTATCTAATATCTTATATAACATAAACACAAATTCGATTTATTTTTCTAATCGTGACCAAGATATGTAGTGAATGAGGTATTTTACAGTTCAACTTGTCAGCACTCTGGTGGATAAACTATATGCACTGTAATGGTGAATGGTTTTGCAGCTGGGCATTTTGCAGTTTTTTACTGTTTTTTGTTTTTTCAAAATTCAACTTAGCTTTATCATTTTTCCATTCTATCTGAGTAAAATATTTTATATCGAAGTAGTACTTAGAAGTAGTACCTCTGTAAAGACCAAATTCTTTCCGCAAATGACAACTCTTTAACCCTATTTCATCACTTGGTTCTCGTTTTGTAGAAGATGCCCATGTTTGGCAGTGGTGGGAGAAGTACTTAGATCTCAAGTGAAAGCATAAATACCTAATAAAAAAAAGCTCTGCAAGTGAAAGTTCTGCAAAATTAAAGATGAGCCTTCAAGTACAGAGATGAGAAGTGAGGCATGTATTTTGAATCTTTCCCTTGTGTTCGTAAGCAACACATATTGAAAAAAAAACTGGAAAATGAACCTTTGATGAAACTTGAGTTGCTGTTGACAAGTTACATGAATTGATCAAAGATGTTGGAGATGGCTATGTAAATGTATGTGTATACAGTGTATACTATATTGTTTAAAAGAGGTGATTTGCAGTAGACAGTAGGTGTACACACTAATTTACATTGCAGAGTTTAATGAGTGGGCAGTAAAAGGTTGTGTCATATGGAAAACATATCAAAGTTTATTATGTGTTTCTGACACACACATTACTATACCACATTTTAACTGGCACAAACGTATCAGGGCATATGAAGAAAGCCATAGCTCAGGTGGTAAAGCGGTGTGTAAATGTAAATTGGTGTGTAAAAGCTGTTGGCCATATCGATTTAATGTTGTGATACAGTCAGGCATTGTTGTCACCCATCAGAAGGAATATAAACTCTGTCAGTTGTTTGTGTCGCAATGCATTCAAATAAATGGGAGGCCTATTTGCCTTCTCATATCATTCATCTGTGGGAACGTTACTAAAGACTCTCACTGACTTTCATAGACACAATAGGTCTGCCTGGCATGCTCACCATGTTACAACATGCATTTGTTCTTCAGCCTATTCACAGGAGCTGTGTTCCACCTGTGTGCTTGTTGGTTAAACAGGTTCTGAATCATCTCCAAAGTGACTAACACAATGGAGACCAAAACAGATTGCCTCAGTATGGGCCTTATTTGACATCTCACCCCCCCTATGACGACAGGCTTTTCACAAGGCTAGATGTTTAGAACAGCTTTAAACACTGTTGACTTCAGACGTTGTACAACATGCTATAGAGGTTGTAGAGAGAAGGAGGTTAAATGCGCTTCAACCGCCTCACAAGGAATATATAGCATGTCCCAGCCCATTTTCATTCCTAGGGCTTCAAATACCAACGCTTTGTCCGTCGTTTTTAGTCACTCAGAGAAAATTCTCTGCTGTGTGATGGCGTACTACAAAGAAAAACCACACAGAAGGTGTAAGAGAGGGCAGGCGGATGGTTCAAACAGAACATTTAATGTTAGTGTCTCAAAGTGTAGAGTTAATTTGAAGTTATGTGTTTTCAGTACTTCTGTTACGTTGTTTATGTTTTACTTAGTTTACATGCTTATTTCAAGCCCAACTGTGGTGTTTTTCCTCAACCTAACTAACGTGGTTTTGTTACCTAAACAAGTGTTTTTGTTCAAATTCAAACTGTTAACCACATGTTTACTGTGACCGTAACGGACGCCAAGTTTCCCTTAGTATGTGAAGAGCAGGGATGACAATGTGCAGGTCGCACTGTCCGGTGCTCTCAGAAATAGGTCAATGTCGCATCGGGAGAAACTTCAGAGCTTAGATCCAAAGTATACTGGAGCACACAAATTTAAGGCAACAAACTTTAAAAGAAGACTAAGGTTTTAACGCCAATTGTGTCTTCATCATGCCGACGCATACACGGAGGTTGTAGGTACTCATCTTCTTTCTTTAAGACATTTTAGTAGGACTTCAACCCTACGACCCTTTAAAGGATGGTGTACCTCGAGGAATTCATGCCCTTAGTAGGGTTGAAACCAGGCAAAAGACAGTACCACTGCTGTAAAAATCAACTGAGCCATAGCATATGGCATAGCTGTCATGTTTTCAGTTCTTGTCGTATAAATGGTGTCATTGTTGTCCTTGAAGATAACACTCGATTGAAACAGTACTGCTTCACAAGAAGAGCATGTTCACTCACAATGGGTCTTATTCATTCATATTGGGTCAGAAAATATCTTCTTTAGTGCAGAAATAGCAAGCTGTACACAGGTTAACAAATAATCAATGTAGCTGTTTTAAACTGATTTTAATCGGCATACAAAGATTATTCTTTTGCCTTTTTCAGATACAAGACTTCAATCCTCATTAAATCAGACATGCTGTGGAAGAACACATTTGCACAAACTGTTGGAGTGACAGCTTATTGTTGGTAATGGCTGTTGCACAGGTTTGTGTTTCATTGTCCGTGGACAAAACTAAACAGCACTTTTTACTAATTAAAAAACAACTGCAGCAAAACTTGTCTTTTGACTGACTAACTCTACTTAAAAGTAATAAAAAAAATACAGATGGTATGTCTATAAAACAGGCCCTAAATCACTGATATGTTGGAAGAGTTGCTTTAGAAGAGCTGTTGTTAACTAAAGTGACTGCTTTGTATTTTGTATTCAGGGCTGCAAGGTGTAGGGTATATGTGCAGCAGGGAGGGCTCTAGGTTCTAGGAAGCTAACAGTCGCTAGACTAATCTCTTCAAACCATCATACTCATCATAGGCAGACACATTTTTGTTCACCCTGCACTGGGCTTCAAGCCCACGCAACTTTGTGAACATAATTTTGTAGAGCTGTCTAAATATCTAGGGAGGGGTGTTGAACAGTACCCTACTGAATATTCTACAATGAATATACTAAAACCTGCTCAGAATTAGTATGATGGTTATGGGACACACAACAATAATCTGCCACCAAACCTTGGCAGTGTAAGGAATAGTTGTTGGTCATGTTTCTTTTTTCATCCCAGTCTGCCATTAACAGGGAGACGTGGGCTCATTGGTAAATAATATTCTGTTTTGATTATTTGACCAGCCCTCCATGTTTTTATTCTGCTATCAATTAACATCAATAGCTTTTCGGACTTCATTTGCTGAAAAATGAATAATTTGTATTGATGCATGCACCTTTTGTTTTCTGCAAACAATCATAGCAAGGCAGTCAATTATTTAATATCAGTGTAGTTATAAGTAACTTTTAAAAGAGTCTGTTATGTGATGCTATTTGTTAAAATATTTGGACAAGACACATTGTCATATGTTTGTTTTAAATGCAAGCTTTCGGCAGCAGTGATCCCAGAGCAACATGATGTGTCACACTGAACTCACTAAACAAGGGAAATAGCTGCTCTCCCTGCAGCATAGCCAGTAACCTTTGCCCTACATAATACAGCTACAGGCGCCAAGCACAAGTGCAACCACACAGCCCAGCTGTCTCTGAACTGCAAGGATACCATTTGTTTCCTATTGAACATAGTGTACACTCACAATGTATAACAATAAATAATAAAGACAGAAAAACCTGCTTGTGGCCTAAAGGGAAAGGTATTGGTTACGAGTACCTGAGAATGCTTGCTTCTTGTCTTTAGTCTGTGGTTATGTTTCCATATATCCCTAGGTGGGATTCATTTGGTGCCTTTGAAGAAAATACAAGTCTAGAGCCCCTAGTCTCTCCAGGACCAGTGTTCTTCTCAGCTCTGAACATGAGTGAGTCCATGAGTCTGAGAGAGCTGTATTTGTATGACAATGAGGGAGAGAGAAAGAGCCAGAGGGTCAGAGTGAGAGAGGAGGGGCCAGGGTGTTATGTGGTTTTGAATGAGCAACTTAAGGCGGAGACTGTTCATGGAGGCCACGAGGTTCAACAGTAAAGAGGAGGGGATTTGCACAGTGGCAGGCTAGCTGCATGGGTCTGTGGGTATTTATATCTGTCAGTATGTTCAACACTGTGCTCCAGACAGAAAAATAATAAAAGGTAGTGCTTGATACTTCGGATCTTAATCTAAAATCTTCCTCTACAAACTGAAATAGACAAATTTTGTGGAAAGTTTCGAAGTTGTATTTTTCAGACTTAGTTACAAAGGCTGCAGGTTTTGCTCTGTCTCTCTCTCTCTCATACATCAAATTAACTTCAAAATGAACACTTACAAATCAAAGTTTACCAGATTTATGGGTCAATAAATGTGGTCAACACACATTGTTGTTGTTTGTTTTCACACTCGTAGCTCTGTCGATGCCTGAAGTCCCTGTCGCACTGGAGAGCAATTAATGCTTTTGTTCCTTTACAGTTTCTGTGTGGACTTCACAATAGTTGTGCAGAACAAAACAAGTATTAATAAGATAAGGAAAGTCCTCCATTTTGTGTCCATCGCCCTTCTCAAACCCGCAAACCGTGACTTCAAGCACCCGCTTCGTTAAACCTTCCTTTAAACTTATCTGTTTTCAGTGCTCTAAAACTCCTGCTTAGCATGGATGCTCAGTGTAAATGCAGCATGCATTTTAAAATGGAAACGTAGTAGTGTGGACATGGCCTTGAATCTAACGCCACCAGCAGGTTGACATTTTCGGTATTCTGTGAAATGTCTCAACAATGAATTGAATGGTTCCCAGAGGGTGAATCCTAATAACTTTACTGACCAATCATTAGGTCATAAAAATGTCCGGTGCTTTGCAAAACTAATGACATTCCCATCAGCCTCAACTCTACTTTTTGCTTTGTGCTAATTAGCAAATTCGCAATTTACCGTTTACCAGACATCATCACCATTTTGGTGAAGATGGTAAACATTATAAAGTTTGCTCAAAGTTCACCCCATTAATTTGTTAATGGAAGTGAGCCAACTGAGCAAATCATTGGATTCCAGGTGATGTGGAACTAACAGGCGATGTAAAAGTCTTCATGGAAATTACAGCTAGATTCGCATAGGAGCTCTGTAGTGGTTTGTCAGAAAACTGACGAAGAAAAAGTGATTCAATCTCACTCTTTACCTGCTGAGGAGGAATCTGGGATTCGCCCTTCCTCCGAGATTACAGATACTGACAAACGATACACCCACAGTGACGAGAAAGAAGCTGCAGAGGCAATAACTTATGAATGATTCATTTGCAGCACACCTTAGTATTGTTCTGTTAATGAAACATTTGTGTTGCTACTCTGAGTGATAGCAATAATTATGTTGCGCAGACAGAATGAATAGCTACCGTCCACAACCCCCCATCAGAGAAAAACATGTTCCCCAAAGACTGACATTATAAAAGAGACAAACATAAAAATGCTGATAGGACACCTGAAAGTGCACACAGGTGCATGTCTTAATCCTTGTATTGTGATTCAACTATGAAGGTTTATTTGTAAATATATTTACAATATATATATACTTATATTTATTTATATATACTTTTTATGGATCGCTCACTCTTTATTTTGCCGAACATTGTACTGGAACAACAGATTTGTATTTTATGATAATATACTGTAACAGGGAACACACTAATTTGCGACCAAATAATCTAATATGCCACATTAACAGTCATTAACAGATGAAATCCAGAGCAATTAAAAACTGTAGCGACAAAAAACGTACAACAAAACTACAGCACACAAAAGAGAAACAGAAACAGTATGATTATAACTTCACATATTTATAATAAACCTGAAAGTAAGTTAAGGTAAATAATTACTCACAGCCACAAAAGGATTGTTATTGACACAAAAGCACAGCTGGTGACCCAAGATGATCCTTTCTCTCCCTCCCTCTGCGCCGGTCTCTGTCCCACACAGGCACCCTAAAGGTCCAGCATTCACAGCCCTCCACCACAACGTTACGTTACATTCACCACAAACGATTTCAACACATGCTGTGTGAAATACCACAAATGTATGCAGTATGTGAAACACACACACACACACACACACACACACACACACACGCACACACACCCACACACTCATAACTGTGTCTGGTGCTTGATGAGTGCATTTAGTTTAACATGTTTTTTTCTTGCATATTTTATCGACATATTGGTCGTATTTGCTTTGTCTGTATCTGTTTCTGTCTTTTACTGTTTTTTTTCCACGAATATTTGTTTGTAAAACAGCAAAGTTGCTAATCAATAAAAAGGGAAATCAGATGATTCGTATACTCACAATTTGCTGTTGTCTGAAGCAGATATACTCGTCTCCACTTTAGTCTTTCTGCGTATCTCTGACGGAGGCGCTTGCAACAAGTGTGCCGGCTGCAGGAGGTACAAGATACAGGACAAATCCCTGTACTGGTTGTAAATTAATTATCTTTGGCAAACTTCGTCAAAGTGACTCTGAACAGGGGTACTTGAGTTCAAGGAAACACAGCTGCCACCTGAGGCAACAACACAAGTCTTAATTCTTCATCAAACCTACACATACTTGTAATGTTAAAGTGTAACTTTATATGGTGTTTTTTATGTTAACCTTTTTCCAATAACTATTTTTATACATATATACATATATCCCCCCCCCCCCAGAGCTTATACTATGTAGCGTACATCTTAACGTTAAAACTAACTCCAGTCAAGACGACTGAGGTGATGTATTAAATCTGAGACAGAGTTAGACAGACATGTAGTTTCTACATAGAAACAGTGTGCCATTCAAAAGCTAGTCCTGACTGAATATTAATTGGATTAGCAATAGATGTTTTATGCTTGTGTTGGCATTCACTTGACATATTTCAGTATTTATTTATAACTTGGATCTTATCTTCAAATAGGATCCATTTGAATGACAGTCAAAAAGTAAAACAGAGGGACAGAAACAATATTTGTTCAAATGCTTAAAATGACCCACAGTACTGAATGTAGATGTTTCATGACAAGCAACCTCTTGTTGTTGTCCAGACACAAAAGCTCTTTCTCTCTGTGAAGGCAGTTTGTTGGATAGTTGGGCCTGAATTTTCTGACACTGACACGGGAGACTGTGGTTTCTATCCCAGCTCCTCTTTTAACCCACCGTCTTTCCCTTACCTGCCCTGAGCATATTGTTAACCATGACCACAATATTTCTGGCCTTTTTGGCTCATATGGGTTGTTTTGCAAGGTACTGACAAGCGACCTATTTTTCTGTGTAAGCATAACAACTTATTGGAAACAGAGGATGGGTACAGAAAAAGAGCTGTCCAGTCTTCGTCAGGAGATTCAGTGATTTCTTTTTTTTAAAACTTAAATTGAACCTTTAGTTAGAGGTTAGGTAGGCTCATTGAGACATCATGTCATTCTCAAGAGAGGCCTGGTTAAGACACAACACGACACAAAGTTACAGACAGACAGGAAATGCATACAAAGACAAAATAGAAATGCAAGCAGCATAAGGCAAGTGCTAAAATTACGTTGAAAATACAAAATAAATTGATACTGTACAATAACTCGAAAGTAAGTGCACCAGCAAACTGACAACAATGTTGTATTGTAAATTATTAGATGATGTTCATCCAGCTGTGAAATAAACATGATAACAACATGTGGTGATTGCATATGTCTGCATTAGCATCATGTATAATAGGCCTTTCATGCACAGTGAAGATAGAATATACTTTAAGAGAGAGCAGATCATTGGCTCCCTCTAGTGCCTACATACAGTACATGCAGCTTTTGACTTTGTTTGGACATGCAGTAAGGAATGGAGGGAATTAATCGTCAGGTGTGCCGTGGGAAAATGTCCAATTTCACTTAATTGGACACTAGTGGTGTAACGGATCACCCCTCACGGTTCGGCATCAATGGTTCACCATTAAAATACACTAGAGGCTGGTTTTACGGATGTTCGTATACAATTAAGTGGTCAGTGTTCACAGTCATAGTTTGTGGGTTTCAAAAGATCACAAATTGTCTTTGACATCAACATTTTAAGCTCAAGTCGTCATTTAGTCTCTTTGGTGTTGAGTGTGCATACTAAAAACATTTGTCTCTGGTATTAAAAAGCACTTGGCAGCATCACATCAAAAATAAGTAAGATATCTCTTTTATTTGACCACGATGTAGTCTATCATTTGGTACAACCGTCAAGTATGCAGAATTGTGTAAAAACACCACAAGATCCAAGTCTCAAACCCAAAATCATGAATGAAAATGACTGGTTTCGGGCTTTGATTTTCTGGAAGAACAATGAGACGGAGAGAGGTGAGAAATCTTATACTCAGATTAGCTGCTTTTGTTCGTCTTGTTATGCAATGTAACACAAAGAAGGGGAAAACCTGTCCAAGATAGCCTTCAAACTCAGGTGAAAGTATAGCTTTAAACAGAACTTTGTGTATTTTTATCTGAACAGCATATTGGATAACATAAACACATTACTAATAGGCCCACCACAATGTGGAAATATTCATTTTCAAGTAGAATACGTCTAAATCCTTAAGCAAAGAAGTATTATCAGCTCAAATGTTCTCAAAGTATCAAAAGTAAGTTAGTGCTAATTGTTGATAATCGTCGTATTTATTGTTTGACATTAATAGATTGGTAATACTTGTGCATCAAATCATTTTAATGTTGTAGCTGATCGAGGTTGCTACATTTAAATACTTATCTAGGTAGATTAGTCCAGTGTTTCACAATGCTTCTATTGATTTATGATAAACTAACTACAGCAACGATGATACTTTTTCAAATGTACAACAAGAACAACAGATGAGCTGCATTTACATATAATGGTTATGCTCTAGCCCTGCTCTCATGGTTTCTGTTGGTTTCCAAAGAAAAGACTGGTTAAGTTAGTCTCAGTG